AATGCTCCCTCTAAGCTGTGGAGTCTTGTGAGCAAAAATTCTACTTTGTGAGCCGCTGGCATTAAAGTTGTGAGCGAGCGATTGGACTACTGCATAAGTTCGTTTGCTCTGAAGCCATCGGGAGAAGCCACATGGGGGGGGGACTGGAGCCGGGAGGGACAAGGGGGGTGAACACGCTCCTCCTTCCTCTTCTGCACTTGCAGTCCTGCTGAGGAAATGGGTCGACTTCATCCCCTTATTCATCCCCTGCTATGATGAGCTTTTTCTCAAATGTGCAGAGTGAAAACACCGGGTTTTTTCCGTTTTTTTTCCTGAAGGCTTTTTTGGTTTTTTCCAAAAAATTGGAAAAAGAAAATAAAATTTTAAAAATTTATTATGGAACGTTTTATTTTAACGTGATGAATACAATATTTTAAGACAAGGTGTTCAAATATTTTCCAATATATATATATATGGTATCAGATTGATCTAATTTCTGTGCACTGAGGACAAGCAAGTCCCAGGTTACAAACTGAACCCTCCAATGCAAGAACAAGATGCATTTCTTCCTTTAGGAGGTGCTATTGTCAGAAGAAAATAAAAAGGTTTCAGTTTTGTTTTGGCATGTGGGTGGATATTCTGTTTGTAATAATTGTTTGGATACACTATATTTTTAATATGCTAGTTGTGATAATTTCATGCCAAGTAAAAATGTTCATAGTCATATTTTATGTTCCTAAAGTAACAGAATGACTTTCAATCTAGAAAAGACAAAAGAAATGCTAATGTAGCGTTTTTTCAATTTTTCCGAAAATTTCTGTTTCCACCCGGAAAAACCCCATGTTTTTTTCCGAGCTTCGAAATTTCCGGAAATTTTACATCTCTAAATGGCCAGCGACCTCTGAACCTCCCTTGCCTTGAGAAGCCCCACGGGGGTCACCCAACGTTGGCTGCCACTCGATAGCACTTTGCCCACGCACACAGAATGTTCCAAGCAGGAAAGGAGATAGGAAGGAGGGCGCGTCCTTGCACCGGATTTGTCGCCTTTTCCTCAGGGCTCGTAAGGCAGAGGTGTTCTGCCAGGCTCGGGGGTCACCCAACGTTGGCTGCCACTCGATAGCACTTTGCCCACGCACACAGAATGTTCCAAGCAGGAAAGGAGATAGGAAGGAGGGCGCGTCCTTGCACCGGATTTGTCGCCTTTTCCTCAGGGCTCGTAAGGCAGAGGTGTTCTGCCAGGCTTTTGGTTGAGGGCAGTGATGGCATAATCCTGTGATCTGGCAGCCCCATACCCTTCTTGCCCCCTGTGTTCTCCCCTCCCACCTTTTACAGGTCTCTTCTGGGAGGTCTAGGGTTGCCAAGTCAACTTACCTTGGCGGCGGGGGAGCCTCGGCAGGACCCGGGAGCTCTCCGGGGATGCGTGCGCGCCCCAGCATGTTACAGGAAGTGACGCGCTACGTCGCTCATGTTGGGGGCGTGGCCAGAGGATCACCCCTCCGACAGTCGGCGCAACGGCCCCAACGTGAGCGACGTGGTTGCGCTTCGGGTGGCGGAGTTCCCCCCGGGGCCTGATTCCGCGGCGGCGGAAATCGGGCCTCCAAAGCGGGGGTTTAACCCACCCCCCGCCCCCACTTGGCAGCCCTAGGGAGGTCTGCGATTTGCCATACCAGGAATTCTGACTGTCGGCCATCTTGGAATCGATCCATTTTTATTAAAAACTGTTGTTTTCTCGTTGGTTTTTGATTTTTTAAAACGTATTTATTGTATATCCCTGTTGTAAGCCGCCCCGAGCCCTGCCCGCAGGGGAGGGACGGTCTAGAAATCAAACAAACAAACAAGAAAACTCCTCCAGGGGGGCTTCAGGATCTCTGATTTCGTTTGCACCCTCAGACCTTCGAGAGGTCCGTGCAGCTCCTGGATCAGATCCCTCCTTATGACACCCACAAGATCGCTGTGCTCTACGTGGGGGAAGGCCAGGTAAGAGTGTGTGTGTGTGTGTGTGTGTGTGTGTGTGGAAGCATAGTGCTCGAAGAAAACCCCGTATCAGCAAAACGGACTCAAGAGGCTGTTCCCTTCAGGGAAACATCCTTTCCTGCGGTGTAGTCGCCTGCCTCTTGGTCTTTGACACAGACGTCACACCGTGTGGTGTTTTTAAAAAGCTTAGTCCATCGCTGCGTTCTCTTTCCCCTGCCTTTCCTCCAAGGAGCTGCACGTTGTCCTAACAACCCCCCTGTTGGGTAGGCCTGGCCGAGAGAATCGCTGGTCCGTGGTCACCCAGCCATCTTCATGGTGGCGTGGGGACCACGGCTTGGCCCTCCTTGCTCATAGCCTGGCCCCCAAACCACGATGCTGCGCTGGCTCTCATCTCTTATTTGCCCCCTTCGAGTTTCACGTGACAGATTGGACTTGTGAAGAAGCGTTGTGTGGTGAGATCACAAATGGCCACCTCCCGAAATATTTATTTGCAGCATTGCCCAGGGCAAGGGTATGTGGTTACAAACTGTCTCTTCACAACAACTCTGTGAAGTAGGCTAGGCCAAGAGAGAATGGCTGGCTGGCTGGGTCACAGAAGCATAGGTTGGAAGGGACCTCCAGGTTCATCTAGTCCAACCCCCCCTGACAATGCAGGAAATTCACAAATACCTCCCCCCCCATACACACACCCAGTGACCAGTGTTCCCTCTAAGCTGAGTTAGTGTGAGCTAGCTCACAGTTTTTTCACCTCCGGCTCACACATTTTTGTCTTAGCTCAGGAAGGATGGCTCCAGAGCAAACTAATTTATGCAGTAGCCAAATTGCCTGCTCACAACTTTAAGGCCAGTAGCTCAGAAAGTAGAATTTTTGCTTCCCTGGCCAAACTGGCCTGGAGAACAATTGTTTCCTGACCCCAAAGTGGCGATCAGCATATTCACAAATACCTCCCCCCCACCCCACCCCCAGTGACCCCATTCCATGCCCCGGGCAAACTGGCCTGTGGAAGGTCTGGTTTTGTTTTTGTCCCCTCCCCGGATGTGATGAAATATGAACGGCCATCTGAGTTTGGGAGGGAGGGAGGGAGATGAGGCTAGACCTGGGTCTCTGCCAGTTTAGCTTTCTCCATTTATTTTTCAGACTTTTACCCCGCCCTCCCCGCCGGAGCAGGCTCAGGGTGGCTCAGACATGATAAAATACACAATAACAATCAAAAGCACCCTAAAATGTTTAAAAACAGCTCATTAAAACAATATGACATTAAAGCGCCAGCTGTGTTATTTTGATGTCGTAACAATGGCGTTACCACGTGGGTGCATTCCGTAAGTTTATCTAAAGTGCAGCTCACTGATCTTCCTAATCGCCGTGCACAGGCTGTCGGTAACTAACCAGGGATCAGGCTCTATAGGTTTCAGTTCTTATTGATAGTAGTGGCGATGGTGGTGGCAGCAGCTCCTAGTTAAAAGCCCGGGGGAAGAGCTCCGTCTTGCAGGCCCTGTGGAACTGTGAAAGGTCCTGCAGGGCCCTGATACATGCAGGAATCTTTTAAACTTTTTTTGGAGGGAGAAGTGCATGCAATATCCTACAAAGCCACCTGAGACCGGCTGAAGCGTGCCCTGCCCCTGAGTATCCCGGGTTCTGCTCCAAGACCTCCCCGTTTGTCTCCGCAGAGCAACCAGGAGCTGGCCATCCTGTCCAACGAGCATGGCTCCTACCGCTACACGGAGTTCCTGACAGGCCTGGGCAAGCTGATCGAGCTCAAGGACTGCCAGCCGGATAAGATCTACCTGGGCGGCCTGGACGTGTGCGGGGAGGACGGGCAGTTCACCTACTGCTGGCACGATGACATCATGCAAGGTACGGCCCACCACGGCCTTCCCCCCCTCCCGTCTCCCTCCCTTCCCCAGCCCCCTTTGGGGACCAGAGTCGCCCTGGTGTAGTACTCAATCGATCGATCGATCGATCGATCTAATTTATTACAGCAAGAGCCAGTAAAACAGTACAATTCTGATAGAAGAAGGATTAAGACAGTAATAACATAGGAAGAGTATAAAAACATTAACAAGAGAAAATTAATAAAGTTAGTAAAATGAAATAATGTTAATAAGCGAATCATACAGTCTTTTCAGCTCAATTAAGTTTACGTTTCCTAATAGCTAAGCAACAAAACTTTGCCAAGGCGTAAGTCACTGAGCTCTGAACGTCTTCTAAGAGGAATTTACGAAGGACTTCTGGCCTAAAGTCAAGATAAGACTGCAGAGGGCTAAATCTAGACAGGAGGGGTCGTATAAGATGATGGTCTCGTTCCTCCTGAAAGAATCTGCAGAACAGGAGGACATGAGTGACTGATTCCACGATATTAGCCGTGCATGGGCATACACGTTCATGCATTGGCACTCGAGTGGATTTACCTTGCAGTACAGTGTAAGGGAGTGCCTCAAAACGGGCTCTGGAAAAGGCCCATCTATAGGGCTCATAGGTAATGTTAAATAAATAAGGGGCAGCAGTAAAATGAGGCCAAGATTTTATATTTCTGAAGTTCTTGGGTAGCGAAGCTTCTTCATTTTGTGATTCAATACCACGAAGCCTCTGTGTGACAGCTGTCCTTGCCTTGTATAGGCTTCCATAGAAGAGATCTTCTGGGAATAGGTGTAGTAGTACTTTTTTTCCCCCCCCCCCCCAACACAGTGGCACATTTGATAGTTTTAATGCCATCTTATTAAGCTAATAGGCTAATTACTGTATTTGTTTTTAATTGTGGTCTTAACTGGTGAATGTTTTACTAGTACGTGGCCCTGAGCCTTGTTCTACAGGGAAGGGTGGTTCCAAAAACAAATCTAATTTATAAACAAACAAATAAATAATAATGAACGGAAGTTTCCCGGGTTCCGTGGTTTGCCACTCCCAACTGTAGGCCAGTCCTTGCTTGGTGTTATAGATAGGAACTCTGGGGCAAGGGATGCTCTGTATTCTTGGTGCTTGGGGGGGGGAACAGTGGGAGGGCTTCTAGTGTCCTGGGCCCCACTGCTGGACCTCCGGATGGCACCTGGTATTTTTGGCCACTGCATGACAGAGTGTTGGGCTGGATGGCCCATCAGCCTGATCCAGCATTGGCTTCTCTTCTGTTCTTATGTTCCAGCCATTTTCCACATTGCCACGCTGATGCCCACCAAAGACCTGGACAAATACCGCTGTGACAAGAAGCGGCACCTGGGGAACGACTTCGTCTCCATCATCTACAACGACTCGGGAGAAGAGTTCAAGTTGGGGACCATCAAGGTGAGGGGGGGGCGTCTGGCTGGGGCCCGAGGGGTGGGCTGCTCTCCGGCCCCGGACCAGATTTTCTGCTCCTTCGGGAGGCCTCCACACCACACCCACGGAAGCTTCCCTGTTGCTGGGGGCAGTGAGGGCTTGGCTTGTGCCAAGTCTCACAGTCATATTTATCCATTCTAACCCGACTGCTCAGCAATTTCATGGAGTGCCCACAAGGAGTTCTTGTATTGTGGGAAAGGGAGAAAAGTACCTCTTTCTCCACCTACTCTATCACAGGCATCATCTTATAAACCTCGATCATGTCACCCCTCAGCTGTCTCTTCACTAACAGGCAGGAGAAATCTCCTCCTTTCGTGTTTGGAACACGGGCTTCCACGCAGCTCCAGGACTGGTGCCGTCGCTCAGTCCTGGAAGAGGCAAAACGACAATGAACTTGTTCCTCTGAGCTTGTGGAAGACGCCGGTTCCCGTACCCCTTGGAAGTTCGGAGGGCCTAAAGAGGCCCTGCCGTCTCTCAGCTCAGCAGTTCAGCTGTGCCGTGACTTCCCCGTGAGAAGGCTGATGTGGAATGCGAGAAAGGACATGCGTGTGTGTGTCTGGAGAAAGCTTTCATGCCGTAGCTCATGTATCCCCAACGTGGCACCCGGGGGCTCGAAGGTGCCCACAGACCTTTTCTGGAGCCCACCAAGTGCATTTTGAAACGTGGGCAGGGCCAGGTGGGGCTTTCGCCCAGTGAGGTTTCTGATTGGCCACGGGTAGATTTGATTGGCTGTGCAGCTTTCAAAAAACATTGCTTTTGGCAGCAGTTGCAACCTCTACACAAAGACCTTGCATCATCTTATAAACCTCGATCATGTCACCCCTCAGCCGTCTCTTCACTAACAGGCAGGAGAAATTTCCTCCTTTTGCGTTTGGAACGCGGGCTTCCGCGCAGCTCCAGGATCGGTGGCCGTCGCTCAGTCCTGGAACAGGCAAAACGACAATGAACTTGTTCCTCTGAGCTTGTGGAGGACGCCGGTTCCCATACCCCTTGGACGTTCGGAGGGCCTAAAGAGGCCCTGCCATCTCTCAGCTCAGCAGTTCAGCCGTGGCGTGACTTCCCCGTGAGAAGGCTGATGTGGAATGCGAGAAAGGGCGTGTGTGCATGTGTCTGGAGAAAGCTTTCGTGCTGTAGCCCACGGAGCCCCAACGTGGCACCCGGGGGCTCCAAGGTGCCAACAGACCTTTCCTGGAGCCCGCCAAGTGCGTTTTGGAAAGTGGGCGGGGCCAGGTGGGGCTTCCGCCCAGCAAGGTTTCTGATTGGCCACGGGTAGATTTGATTGGCTGTGCAGCTTTTAAAAAACATTGCTTTTGGCAGCAGTTGCAAGTTCCAATGTTCCCTCTAAGCTGAATTGGTGTGAGCTAGCTCACAGTTTTTTAGCCTCCGGCTCACACATTGTTGTCTTAGCTCAGGAGGGACGGCTCCAGTCCAGAGCAAACTAATTGATGCAGTGGCCAAATCACCTGCCTGCTCACAACTGTAATGTTGGTAGCTCACAAAGTAGAATTTTTGCTCACAGGACTCCACAGCTTAGAGGGAGCATTGGTTGCAACCTCTGCACAAAGACCTTTTGCTGTGTCACCAGATGTAAGCTGTGGTGGCCATTTTGTGCCTGGCTCCGCCTCCTGCTTCAGCCATTTCATTTTTGTGCCCAACATCCTGTGTCAGAATTCCAAAGGTGCCCACGGGCTTTGAAAGGTGGGGGATCCCTGTCTTCTTGGTGCTTGGGGGGCAACAGTGGGAGGGCTTCTGGAGTTCTGGCCCCACTGCTGGACCTCCTGATGGCACCTGGTATTTCTGGCCACTGTGTGACACAGAGTCTTGGACTGGATGGGCCACTGGCCTGATCTAACATGGCTTCTCTTATGTTCTTATGTCTGGGGCAAGGGATGTTCTGTCTTCTTGGTGCTTGGGGGGCAACAGTGGGAGGGCTTCTGGAGTTCTGGCCCCACTGCTGGACCTCCTGATGGCACCTGGTATTTCTGGCCACTGTGTGACACAGAGTCTTGGACTGGATGGGCCACTGGCCTGATCTAACATGGCTTCTCTTATGTTCTTATGTCTGGGGCAAGGGATGTTCTGTCTTCTTGGTGCTTGGGGGGCAACAGTGGGAGGGCTTCTGGAGTTCTGGCCCCACTGGTGGACCTCCTGATGGCTTCTGGGTTTTGGCCCCTGTGTGACGCAGACTGTTGGACTGGGTGGCCCATTGGCCTGATCCAACATGGCTTCTCTCACGCTCTCATTGGCCACAGCTGGTCTCTGGTGGTCGGGCCAGCCGCTCCCTCCCGAGGGAGGGCCTGAGGCAGAACCTCCCAGCCCAGCCTCCCTCCTGAGCCACCCATGTCCTCCCCCTCTAGGGCCAGTTCAACTTCGTCCACGTGGTCATCAAGCCGCTGGACTACAGCTGTAACCTGATCACGCTGCAGTGCAGGAAGGGTAAGTGTGGGACCGACCCTGGCCGGAGTCTGACTCCGGAGCCCCGTTCTCCGTATGCCCCCCCTCGCCCGACTGGGAGGACGATCCCCTGCGCCCCATTCTCTAGGAGGGAAGAAGAAGAAGGGGACTCAGGCGGAGGCTGCTCTGGCACCCACCACCGTGGGGCTTTCTGCCTGGTCTACTTCGCCAAGCCAGTTGGCAACAGCTGCTTTTTGGCAGAAGGAAAGGCGAGCCGTAAACCTAGAGGGTGTCGACTGTTTCTCTCCCTTGCCTGCAGACATGGAAGGGCTGGTGGACACCAGCGTGGCCAAGATCGTTTCGGACAAGAACCTCCCGTTCGTGGCCCGGCAGATGGCCCTGCATGCCAACGTGAGTGCCGTTTGCACGTGAGGGCGGCAGGGGAAGGGGTACAGTGCACAAGTCAAGCTTGGTCAAGGATTGGTCGCCTGACAGGTTGCCTTGGCCAGTCCCACCTCCGGGAACGACGCGGGTGCTTTTGTGATGGGCAGGGGGTCATTTCCTGCGGGAGCGCACAGGAGCGGAGCTCCGGCAGTAAAGAGCCCAGGGGGCGGGCACGTGCAACAAGCCCCACCCCCTGCTCCCAGCAGCCCTCAGTCAGAGCAAGAAGCAGCCAGGTAAGCTGCAGAGCCCCCCCCCCGGCCCCCCGGTCCAAGACAGTCCAGTGGCACTTTTAAGACCAGGTTTTATTCAGGTACAAGCTCTCCCTCCTCTGTGAGAGCAGATCTGCATGTCCCCCCCCCCAATAGCTAGCAATCCAAAACAGTCCAGTGGAGCCTGAGCGGTGGGTGTTGCCTTCTGACACACATCTGGTGATGTCAGGGGGTGTGGCATATGCAAATGAGTTATGCTGATGAGCTCCTGCACCTCTTTTTCTACGAAATGACCCCTGGTGATGGGCATTTCCCCAAACGATGGGGTCAGATTCTGCAGGGCGGTTCTTTTCTCCAGCCGCCCCCCACGATCTCAGCACCGACACAGGTTGTGCCTCAAGAGGGGAGCAGACCGTGGGATCTTCCCTGGGCTGAGCCAACCAGGCCGTTCGTCGCTTGCCCTTTTTGACTCGCTGCCCGATCGACTTGAGCCGCTCGATCGGCTTGAGCCGCTCGCCAAACAGGCCGGCCAGCGCTGACCCGAGCCCTTTCTCCTTCCCGCGCAGATGGCCTCCCAGGTCCATCACAGCCGCTCCAACCCCACGGACACCTACCCCTCCAAGTGGATCGCCCGGCTGCGCCACATCAAGAGGCTTCGACAGAGAGTAAGCGGGGGGGGGGCTCGTTTCCCTTCCTCCGCCCCGTCTGGGAGGCCATTGTCCCCATGTGGCTTTGTACATTCCTGGCACCCCCAAAATCAGAGGACAGTGTTGGGAATGGGGGGGGGGGCGGGGGAGAGGAGAAGAAGAAGAAGAAGAGGAGGAGATTGGATTTATACCCCGCCCTTCACTCGGAGTCTCGGAGCGGCTTACAAACTCCTTCCCCTTCCCCTCCCCACAACAGACACCCTGGGAGGTGGGGGGGGCTGAGAGAGCTCTGACACAAACTGCTCTTTTTTCAAGGACAGCTGTGCCAGAGCTTGTGACGGACCCAAGGTCACATCAGCAGGTGCAAGTGGAGGAGTGGGGGAATCAAACCCGGTTCTCCCAGATCAGAGTCCGCGCACTTAACCACTACACCAAACAAGAAGAGGAGGAGGAGGAGACTGGATTTATGCCCCGCCCTTCACTTGGAGTCTCAGAGCGGCTTACAAGCTCCTTTCCCTTCCCCCTCCCCTTCCCCTCCCCCTCCCCACAACAGACACCCTGTGAGGTCGCTGGGGCTGAGAGAGCTCTGACACAAACTGCTCTTTCTCAAGGACAGCTGTGCCAGAGCTTGTGACTCACCCAAGGTCACATCAGCAGGTGCAAGTGGAGGAGTGGGGAATCAAACCCGGTTCTCCCAGATTAGAGTCCGCGCACTTAACCACTGCACCAAACTGGAGGACCCCAACTGAGGTATCTACATCCGAGTCTCAAGAGGGTCTGTGTAGATGTCACTCCCTCCATCCTGAACCTCAGTAGGCTTCTTTTTCTCCTGCCGCTGCCAGACTTAATGTGGGCAAGCATGGAGGCAGAGGGCAAGGATGCCCGTCATCACCCTGGGGGAAACCCCATATGACCTCCCCCGCCCACAAGCTCAACTCTTTCTCTCGCACTCCCTGGCAACATGGGGTTGTCGTGTCTGGAAGCGGGGCCTTCGCTCCACTGAGGCTTCAGCCTAGGCTGACGGGTGGCAGGGTTGGGCCTACGGATCCCTCCACCCCCGCCCGAACAGTGCTTCTCTTCTCCTTGGGCAGACGCACCCTGTCCCCAGCACGGGGTTGATAACGCTGGCCCTACTTTGTGGGGCCATCACTAAGGTGGCCGAAGGGCCGTGGCTCAGAGGAAGAGCCACTGCTTGACGTGCAGAAGGTCCCCGGTTCAATCCCCGGCAGGATCTCCAGTTAAAGGGACCAGGTTGTATGTGATGTGAAAGACCTTGGCCCGAGACCCTGGAGAGCCACCGCCAGTCTGAGTGGACAATACTGACCATGACGGACCAATGACCGGATTCAGTATAAGGCAGTTTCCTGTGTGTCCATGCGAGAGAAATCCTTGTGGGGAGCTTAAGCAGCATTTATTCCTCTCTTTAGATCCGAGAAGAAACCCAGTACCAAACGTCCGGCTTCCCCACCATGCACCCCTCTGCGCCCAACAAAGTGTCTGCCCACGCTGCCCAGGACCCCGCGCCCTCCTACGAGACGGGGCAGAGGAAACGGCTCATCTCCTCAGTGGACGACTTCACGGAATTTGTGTGAGGTCAGACGCTCCCCCCCCCCCCCCCCCCTTTTCTGGCCCGTCCACCCACCCATCCGGCCTGTGAGGCAATGAATTCTCCTCTTCTCTTCGGGCCGGTGAGTGTGTGGTTGCTGCCAAGAGAAGATTCAGATTTTGGCAAAAAAAACCCCAACCCTCCAGCTGCGGCGGTAGGACTTCTTAGCGACGGCCCACAAATGAAATAGTGGCCTGGAAACCTGCTGCCCCGTCCCTGTGGGCCATCAGGACTCTCCAAAGAGGGGGAAATCATTGCTGTTCCACTCCATTTTTTTGTTTCCCCCCCTAAACGTTTCGGATAAGCCTCTCTCGTGAATAGAGGTGGGACAAAGACACGGCAGCCAGAAAGGTGTTTTCTGCATCCCGGAAGGAGAGAGATTGTTTCAGCAGGCCCCCGTGTACTACCAAGGACTCCGCGAGGTTTCCAGAGGCCAGCTGGGCAGGTTTCTTTCTCCAAAAACACACCTGTCGTTTGCCTTCTGCGGGCAGCTAGCTAATGGGGGGGGGGGCAGGTGTTTGGCTCTGCAAGCCCTCCTACGGAGACATTTGCCCCATGAGGCTGACAGAGATTGTGGGATTTGACTGACTCTCTTCCCCCCATGCAAAGAGACATTTGGCCCTACTCTTAGAAGGATTTGGCAGATCGCAGGTACATCCAGAGAAGAATGGCGGAGGGTTGGGGGGAGAGGAAGTCCATCCCCTTTCCTTTTGGCACGTTTCACCTGTGCTCGGCAGGTGATAAGCGGCATACTCCCTCCTCAGTGCGGGCAGGAGCTTTTTCGGCGGCTCTGAGGCATGCTATGTGCGGTGCCCCCAGAGCCCGAAAGGGTCTTGGTGGCACCGCTGGGTCAATGCCGGCCGCGGGACAAAGACATTTTCGGGCGGCTGCATCCTGCGTGCACCTGGCTTTTCCAGGCGTAAGGCTGTTTCTTGTTTGGATGAATTACAGAACAGTCGGTGTCTGCACGGCACGCGGAACCCGCCGCTGTCTTAGGGCTTCTCTTTGCCCGTTTGCTGAAATCCGGACGGTGCAGGTGGGTTTGCCGTGGTCGTTATCTACCGAGGACCACCACTCTTTTCCGTGGGGCATATGGGGCTGCCATAGCAGGCCAGTGGGGCATGGTGAGGTTGCCCCTTTATGGCTTGAAAGGCAGATTCTTGGGGGGGAGAAAGCACGACGGCCCTCTCCAACCAGCTCAAGACATCCTATCAATTCCTTGTGTCTGTGTTGTTTGGCAAATGTCGTACAAAAGAAGTGTGCAATGAAATAAAGCATTTGTATGCCTTCCCCCCTGGCTTCTGGGTGACAGAAGATGAGTTTCGGAGCGCCCCTTTGTGTTTGCCTTTTTTTTGGGGGGGGGACCAAGGGAGCTGCCGGGCCACATGGGACTTGGCAGAGACAAGTCTCCCCAGTGGCTCGGGCGTGGAGTCCCTTCCTCGGACAAAGCGCCTGCCTCCTTTTCCCTCCCTGCCCAGTTTGATTAAAAAAAAAAAAAATCTCCTACTGTTGACTGGCCCGGGCCTGGAATCCCTTCCTGGGACAAAGCACCTGCCTCCTTTCCCCTCCCTGCCCAGTTTGATTTTTTTTTTAAAAAAGCTCCTACTGTTGACAATGTACTGGTTGCGCCTTCCTCATCTAGCCAGAGTGTATTGCCCATGGGTTTTCCAAGGCAAGGAATGGGGATTTCCAGCAATACTAACAGTAATATTTTGCCCAGTGTGTGGAACGAAGACTTCTTTGACTTGAAGGATAACGGAGCTTCCAGGCAGGATGGGAGTATTTGTACCAGGAGCATCTGAAAATGGTTCATGATCATGCGTGCGCACACTCACACACACATAAGATGGGCAGCCGTGTTAGTGTGTCTGTAGCAGTAGAAAAGAGCAAGAGTCCGAGAAAAGAGCAAGAGTCCGGTAGCACCTTAAAGACTAGCAAAATTTGTGGCAGGGGAGGAGCTTTTGTGGGTCACTGCTCACTTCTTCAGATAGATCAAGATGGGCAACCGTGTTAAGTGTGTCTGTAGCAGCAGAAAAGAGCGAGGGCCCAGTAGCACCTTAAAGACGAACAAAATTTGTGACAGGGGAGGAGCTCTTGTGAGTCAGATACCCTAAGAAGTGACTCACATAAGCTCCTATCCTTCCACAATTTTTTTTGTGCTCAAGGCGCTCCTGGACTCTTGTTCTTTTCTACACACAATGCAACACGGACCCCCCTCCTTCAGCTGATGGGCTTGGTTTCCTTCTCCTCTGCCATGGTTGGGGCCACAGCTTCCCCAGTTTTGACACCAGGGGAGTCATCTTGCCCCCTTCCCAGCCAGCTGTGAAGAAGTTTGGCTCGGGCCAGAACTTCTTTTTGGTCACCAGATAGGTTTGGGGGACTCAGTGGCCTCCTGCTGGTTGTTTGGAACTTAGCTGTTGTGTAACGTGGAGTCTCGGTGTGAATGTTCTCTATGCCGGTCCCAAGGTTGGTCTTTGCCAGTGCTGACGTGACTACTTTGAGAATGTTGGGGAAATGCAACCACAGGTGTCCGGTAGTAGGCAGTGTTCCCTCTAAGCTGAGTTAGTGTGAGCTAGCTCACAGTCTTTTGGCCTCCAGCTCACACATTTTTGTCTTCGCTCAGGAAGGAGCTGCAGTGGCTCAAGTGGTTAAGACGCTGAACTGCAGGCTGTGGAAGGTCAGTAGTTCAGGAGTTCAAGACCCGGGTGCCGCAAGACGGGGTGAGCTCCTGTCTCTAGTTCCAGCTCGGATTCGACTGGCTTTCGAGCAAGGGAACCTTTACCTTTACAGGAAGGATGGCTCCAAAGCAAACTAATTTATGCCGCAACCAAATTGCTCACTCACAACTTTAATGCCAGTAGCTCGCAAAGTAGAAGTTTTGCTCACAAGACTCTATAGCTAAGAGGGAGCATTGGTAGCAGGGATTTTGTAAACCAGGGGGCCAGCTATCCGCACAAACCCTTCTCTGAGGTGGCCTTCGCACAACCCCAAAGCCATTGCACCGATTTAAATAAAACACACAGACATTCATTTAGCCGTCAATGATTTCTTTTTTTTATTTGACTTTGTCGTTTTTTCCCGTTCTTTTAAAGGAAACATTCCCCACCATTACAGGGGAAAAAAGAAAAGGTTATTTCGTTTGCGAATGTTTAACATTAAAGCTCACAGGGTTCTTGTTCTGCTGTTGCTAGAGGGTGCTTTTACAAAGCCAGCCCCCCCCCCCCATGAAGCCTGGGGAGTGTTGAGCCACCAGGGGTTCTGTCAAGCAGCACAAGTCTACAGGCCTCCATGGGGGGGGGGGGGCGCTTCGAGCAATAATAAATAAGACCCCATCTGGCTCCAAAGGGAGGACCAAGCTTGACGTTCAAGAGTTCGTCTGCGAGGCGGAGATGGGACTTGGGTCCATTCAGACCCATAGCCCTTGAGGGGCATTAGGGGGCAGAGCCCCACCCCAAACAAGCCTTGCTCCACCCCTGGAGAATGCCAGACCTCACCCCACCCCTCGGTGCACCTCGCCCCTGCAGTAGTGGGGAGGCTGGGGAAGGAGACAGCGAGAGAGGAGGCATGCCTTTTCTTTCTCTTTCCTTTGCTCTCCCTAGTCTCTTGTCTCACCAGCTGCCGCAAGGCACCAACATCTGCGTACCCCGGGGAGCACCCCACATCTTTCCAAAGCCTTTGCCCCCAAACAGCCCAGCCTCCTTCGCAGTCACCCCTTTCGCTCCAAAAACCGTTTCCTGCTACTTTCAGACGAAGCGCTCAGCGCCACGCCATGCTGGCAAACACAAACACACACGCGTGCACACGTGTTACTCTCCCCGCCCACTCAGCTGTTGTGCAAAAGGCACCTGCTTCCCCGACGTGACTGTGCTAGCCCTCCTGAATTCCACCATTCCGGGGGGGAAACAACAACGCAAAAGCCAACTGAGAACTCTCGGTTTTGGCAGAACGAACGACTCAGGGCAAAGATCCTTCATTGAAGTTCAAGTCAGACCCCCTCGCTGAGTTGCTTGCTGCCTGCACGGTTTTGGGCACGTCCCCCCCCCCGGAATCCAAAGTACAACTTTATGCTTCTCTAGTCCTTTCCTGGTGCCCGCCAAGTCTTTTTAGAAAGTGGGCATGGCCAGATGGGCCTTTTGCGAGATTTGATCGGCTGTACCGATTTTCGGAAACACAGCTTCGGCGGCAGCTCCCACCGCAGCACGAGGATCTTCGCTGTGTGAACTTGCAGGAGCCATTTTTTGTGGCTGTGCCTGCTACAATGAGCCAGAATTCCAAAGGTGCTCACTGGCTCAAAAAGGTTGGAGACCCCAGCTCTAGTCGCAGTAGCCGAGGCCTGCTCTGGTCCAAACCCACTTCTTTTCCTTTCTGCGCTGCAAGACTCGGAGAATCACACGCCCAAGCTAGCTTGCCGTTTCCTTTCTTCTTTTCTGCCTCTGTAACGTTACACCCTGAGCGTCGAACCACTGCCGCTCTGCCTCTAACCCTAACCCAGCTCCCTCTGCCTCCCCCCTACCTCCTGCAAACATTTCCTGATCCCATCGGCGGAGGAAGCAAGTGCCCCTTTCCTCTTTCTCTGTACCTGATAATAAAGCAGCTAGGAATAGCATATAAAAAACTAATCTTTGTTTTAAAATAGCACCCTTATAAATAATGGAATGTAATCAAAAGACAAATGTCACCACGTTTCTCTTATTTGGGGATGGATCTAAATAGCCAAAATCCTAGCGTTTTGGGTTTTTTTCAAAACCACCATCTCTCTAAGAAAAGAAATCCACGTACGTGGCTCCAGCCAGCGAGGACGGGAGTTAAACGGCCACACGTGGAAACCCACTCAAATTTCTGTCGTCCTTTTTGATTTAGCAAAGATTTGGAGAAATGATGGGCTAGTGCATTGCGGGGAGATCCTGCCCCCTGCCATAGATAATGAGGAACAAGAAATCCCCACACACACAAACACCAAGTTTCCTTTGGCACAAATCCATACACCCGACACACACCAACGAGCTCATCACCAAGCCTTTCACGCACCTTTTTCTTTTTTAAATAAAGTCACATCTAAACATGTCAAGCAACGAAGGTACCAATGCTATAAAAATATAGCAAATATACAAAAATATACATTATTTTTCTTGTAAAAATCCCATATAAATTACTTACAATAGACATAAAATTAAACTGGCCAGTGGAATATGCAGACAGGAGGGTTATCACAAGGGGTGGAGAGGAAGCCCCCCCCCAAAAAAAGGCAAGAGGGGTGAGTTAAGGGGTTAACTGAGGACGTACAGGCCGGCTGCATCTCCCCAGAAGAGGGATTCCCGGGGGGGGGGGGGTTCCGATTTGGAAATAAGCAATCTTGCACCATGAGTGTGGGACACTCCCAACGTACGGAAACACTGCAGCTTCTCATAGCAAAGAAGGCTTGCTGGAGACCCCAGAACCACTGAATGGAGTCCCCCCGCGTTAAACACAGAGGGAGATGTTTTGGGGAAGAAGATCTGCTCTCTGCTCAATCACTCCCGCCAATCTGTCCTCCAGGGAGACTTTTTCTGGCTTGGGAGTGCACGGGAGAGGGACTCTCTTGACAGGGACCGAGAAAGAGGCTGGCTAACAAGTCGCACGGGGTCTTGGGTGAGTCCTGTTGGTTTCTACCAATGCAGAACGGCCAGAACCGATCCTGGCTTCCCAAAGGAGCCTCGTTCAGTCTGTACAGCAGGATTCATGTCCAGGGAGCACCTTAGAGACCACAAGCTTTTAAAGAAATTTTTGGGGCATGAGCTTTTGAGAGGTAAAACTCCCCTGGTCAGATACTCCTTCATTGGGTGTCTTGTATCTTACAAAGGGAACTTGGACCTTCAAAAGCAGATTACCCTGAAAACAGTCGGTCTCCAAGGGGCTACAGGACTCAAATCCGGCCCTTCGACTGCAGACCAACAGTTCTGCCCTCTGAAACGACGTTCAGCCTGCATTCCCTTTTGGAGTCTGCTGGGCGCACAGGTGGCCCAAACATTTAGAGCCAGGGTTGGACTTCTCCATATTCCCCCCCACACACCACACCACAAAAGAACTGGCCCCGCACAGTGCCTCATTTGCACAGGGTTGCCCCCCGTACAAGCCAGCGACATGTTCTGCGTCGCCACTTGCAAAAGCAGCAAATGGATTTAACTGAGGTGCGTCTTGAGGGACAAGTCCCGTAAGCGGGGCGGAGGGTTTTATGCGTGCACTCTTGCCTGCGCTAGGCTCCCCTTGTGATCGGGGCACATTCCATGTGCTCGGGCCCCTTCCGACATGGAGCAGCGCTTGGGGCCAGCCAGGGTGAGCGAACACAGGGCAAGCCACAGGTCTCTGGTCATATTCCCATGGCCCGTTAAATTTTATGCTGAACAACAAAATACTGCTTCCGTGATATATTATCCTGCTCTTGTTTTCAAAAGTTGCATGTGCCACCGTTAGCGAAGCGCTGATTAAAGTGCCAGGCAGTACATGCAGATCGTAAACCAAATATATATATATATATACACACACACACACACACAACACACACAAACCCACATATATATAAAATAGAACTATAAAATTATACAACACCCCTTTGCCTGTCCATTGGGTTCTAGGGGAGGAGAACAGTGAGTTGGAGGGTTAACCCAGCGAGACCAGCTCTTGGGGCCCATGCCCAACCAAGAAGACCCCCCCCCCCCGGCCCCAAATCAACTCTGGGACAACGTTCAAAATTTCTAGGCACTGTTGCCTTTGGGTGCTTTGCTATCTTCAGGCATGGTGGATTAACGTTTTGAACTGAGCCGTCAGCCCAATCTGGAGCGTTTTCTTCGCGGGGGGTTTTTTTTAGTGTTTTTTTCGGGGGGGGGGGGGGGAGAACAAGTCTCCATCCTGACAGTACATTTAAATTCCTTTTTAAAAATTAGCTAAGGTGAAATTGTGGAGGAGGAAAACGCTCCGGAGGGTGCTTTGAATTCCAACCCTGCAGAGCTATTCCTCCAAAGTGCATCTTCTCTGTGGAATCGACAAAGTCAGCAAGAGAAAACCGGACCTTCCGGGTGTCCTTCATGGGCTCAGCCCACCGGACCGCTTGGAGATCACTTTTTTGGGGGGGTGTTCTTCGCCCGGATTGTTCATTTTGGCCTTCAAACATTTTCAAGGCCTTGGCATAGAAATCAGCTGCATTTTCTAATTCCTTTTTTTAAAAGATCTGATTTGAGTCCCTTTTAAATGCTCCACCAGACCCTTTTGCTCTGATAAAAGGAATACCCCCCCCCATTGCAACATGAAGGCGAACGCCACGGCCACACAGCTGATATCCCCTTTCTGGCGGATTTTCCCTCCCCCACAGCAGGTAAGCTGTGCTCTCACTCTCTTAGGGGAAACGGTAACACGGAGAAGATCGCTGAGCCGCCAAGCGCCCGGGTGACAGGAGCCACCCGCTAGGACCCGCCAGGGATCCGAGCGAAAGCCGCACTCATCTCTGTACGTCCCTCAGCATCAAGCTGATCGGCGGTCTGCCCTTCCGACAGCACCCACCCCGCCACATGGATGGGAGGTGACATTTCAGAGAGGGACGGTGCCTCTCCTGGTGGCGCAGGAGTGACCGCTGGTGGGTTGCAAGCCACACAGGACTTTCTCCTTTCGGCCTGGGAGGATGCTGTTACTTCCCACAGGGGTGGACTCGGTTGTTGGCCCGCAGCGGTTTCTTCTTCTTCCGGGCCGTGGGCATGAGCGAGGCGTACGTCTTGTGTGGAGAAAGCAGTGAGGAAGCCAGGCCGATGCCCTGGCTGGCTTGGGGCATTCTGCTGGGTGCTGAGCTCTTCAGGGGACAGGAAGGCAGAAGCTGGTTACTGCTGGGGCACGTTGGAGGGGACAACAATCCCAGATGGGCGGGCGTTGGACGGTGTTGGTTTCCACGTTGGTTTCCCGGCGGTTCTGCTCCCTCCGTGTCCCTCTTCCTCGCCCGCTGGCTCTGTGCGGCCTCCAGCCGGCGCTCGATGTGGTACACGTCCTCGGTGGCCTCATTCACCCGGTCAAACTGAATGAGCAAGATCTCTAGGAGCGAGAGGAGATGCTGGACGTCGCCGTCGGCTTCGGAGCTGTCCCGGCCACTTGGGGCCAGGCTGAGCCCATCCAGCTGGCTGGAGGAGGTGGAGGCGCTGTCGGAGACGGCGCTGGGCGTGGGCCCTCGCAAGGACCGGGAGTCCTGGCTGGAGGCGCGCGAGGGCAACGGCTCCATCCCTTCGAAGCGCACCTTGTGGCGGAACTGCGGCAAGGAGAGAGAAAGAGAGAGATACACGTTTGGCAGCATTACAAACCCAGAAGTGTCTCTATGCAACTCTCTAGAAGGAAAAACGAACGGGAAGCTTGCCGCCCTTTAAAGACCAATGAAGTGTTCTTTTGGGATGAGTGGATGTTAGCCTTTACGGTGCCCCAGTCTCTCCTGTTCTAATTTCGAAGTGTACGGTTGTGTTCTGGCTGAAAACCTCAAGTCCAGGCAGAGGCTGAGCTGTTGCCTGGTTCTCAGTCTCACACTGTAATGGGTCATGTGCATCTTGGATGGATCCTATGCTTGTCTCGTTCTACATATGAGCACAAGAGGGCACACCAGTCTGTTCCTGAGGCTACCGGCTTCATGTCTACAGCAAGAAATTTCTTCCTGCATTCCGACTTCTGTGCCCACCATTTGCCATTACTCAGGGGCAACAGCAGCTTATTAATTTGAGTGTTACAGGTCCTGTTAAGATTACACAGAATCAGGGCTATTTTTGGGCAGGAACGCACAGGAACGGAGTTCCGGCTGGCTCCCGAATTGGCCACGCCCAGCAGGAACTCATTAGCATAATAGACCACACCCAACAGCAGAAACCCATTAGGATTGGCTACATTAGGGGTGTGTGGCCTAACATGCAAAGGAGTTCCTGCTACAAAAAAAGCCCTGGTTTTCGACAACAAACAAGATAAACAGAATAAGAAGCAAAAAGAGGGTGTGGTTGGATGACCACACTTCTGGTAACATGGGGGTGTGGCCTAGTGGGCTAATGACCTGTGTTGTCAGGGGTGTGGCCTAATATGCTAATGAGTTTCTGATGTTGGATGTGGTCTATTATGCTAATGAGTTCCTGCTGGGCTTTTTCTACAAAAGAGCCCTGCACAGAATTAAGTGAGATTTGGAAAGGCCACAGAAGGGATTTTTAACTGTCATTTCCCACTGTTATCTGACATTTTGGGAAAACCCCTTTCTGCAGGGTTGCGTGGCGTTCATATTCTGGTGGATTTTAAGTTTCAGGGCTTTTTAAAAAAACAGACCAGAGGCACTAATTATTTTTATTTATTTATTTATTTATTTAAACATCTGTATCCCTCCTTTCCTCGTGGTTCAGGCAACTCAGAAGACGAAAATAAGAGACTGGATTTATACTCCGCTCTTCACTACCCGAAGGTGTCTCAGAACGTCGTACAATCCATTTCCCTTCCCCTTCCCACAACAGACACCCTGTGAGGTGGGTGGGGCTGAGAGAGCTCTCTTGAGGACTGCCCTTGAGAGAACAGCTCTGACAGAACTTGTGACTGACCCAAGGTCACACCAGCAGCTGCATGTGGAGGAGTGGGGAATCAAACCCAGTTCTCCCGGATTACAGTCTGCGCTCTTAACCACTACACCAAATTGGCTTACAATAATAGTCAGAGATGTTTTCAGTTAAAACCAAACATAAAATAGCAAAACTCCAAATCTCTCTTCACACTCCTCTTTAAAAGATGCCTGCCAATTCAAGACTCCTGCAAAGGTCCCAGCAAATAGGCAGGCCTTGCAGCACCTCCTGAAGTTCTCCAAGGAGGAACCCCTCACCTCTTCAGGGAGCCCATTCCCCAAAGCAACGACGGGGAAAAGGCCCCGGGCTCTGGTCTATGCCCAACAGGCCACCCTAAACTGATTGACGGCTCGCTGAAAACCATAGTTAGTGTACAGCGATACGTGGAAGGATACGGTCCTTCAAAGATGTGAGTCCCAGGTCATGAAGGGCTTCAGGGCTTTTTTTGTAGAAAAAGCCCAGCAGGAACTCATTAGCATTATAGGCCACACCCAACAGCAGACATTCATTAGCATATTAAGTCACACCTTGACAGCACAGCAATTAGCATATTAGGCCACACCCCCATGTTACCAGAAGTGTGGAAATCCAGCCACACCCACCTTTTGCTTCTTATTCTGTTTACCTTGTTGTCAAAACCCAGAGGTTTTTTTGTAGCAGAAACTCCTTTGCATGTTAGGCCACACACCCCTAATGTAGCCAATCCTAATGAGTTTCTGCTGTTGGGTGTGGCCTATTATGCTAATGAGTTCCTGCTGGGCGTGGCCGACTCAGGAGCCAGCCGGAACTCCGTTTCTGTGCGTTCCTGCCCAAAAACAGCCCTGAAGGGCTTTAAAGGTCATAAACAGCACCTTGAGTTGAACCGAGAAACAGACTAGCAGCCAATGAAGCTGTTTCAAAATGGGTGACCTATGTTCCTGGCTGCTAGCCCCTGACTGCAGTCGGACTGCTGCATTCTGGACCGGTTGTAGTTTCCAGGTTGTCTTCAAGGGCAACCCCACACAGAATGCATTGCAGTAGTCCAGCCGTGAGGTTACAGAGGGCGTGGATCAGTGTCACCAGACTGGCTGAGTCTAGGTAATGAGGGCGAATCAGATGCAGCTGATAGGAAGCATTCCTGGCCCCCCTGCCAATCTGCTTTTCAAGCTACATCCTTGCAGAGAGTGGGGTGGCTGGAGAGGATGACTGTGTGACAGTTCCCCTAGGGACAATCCCCCTACTATTCTCACCATGTCCCACAGCATGTCGCTTACACTCACCTCCTTGGCTTTGCTGAGCCCCATCCACATCTTGAGCCTCCGAACAAAGAGCTCGACCATTTCGTAGTCCTGGGACTCAAAGGCTGGCCGGTACATCTCGAAGCGCGTCTCCCGGTAGTGATGGATGAGGACTGCTGCGAACAGCCGTAGAACCACCCACAGCTCCAGAGCGATGTAGCTGGCGCAGAAAAGGTGGGAGAGCCCGACCGGCTCAGGAAGGCAGAAGCGCAGGCTGACACTGCTGCGGAGTGCCGTGAAAAGCAGTCGGAGGGAGCCGGAGAAGGTGCAGAAGGCCTCCGAGCGGGAGGAGAAGAGCTGTGCCGGAGGAAAGAGACACGGGCAAGCAGACTTTAACCAGGATGGAAGGAGTGGGGCAGGAAAACGCGCAGGATGAGAGACGGTAGTTCAAAGTCTGGTTCAAAGTAGCCGGCTCCCCCACCCAAAGTGGCGTGGATAATTTTTAAAGATGTATTTATTTACTTCATTTGTACCCTGCCTTCCCAGCAGAGACCCAAGGAGGCTTCCCTCATTCTCCTATCCTCCATTTTTATCCTCACAACAACCCCGAGAGGTAGAGGACGCGGAGAGTGTGACTGGCCCAGGGTCACCCAGCGGGCTTCCACAGCACAAGCAGGGATTCAAAACTGGGTCTCCCAGATCCTAGTCCAACACTCTTAACTGCTATCTCTCAACCCTTTTACTTTCCTTCCTCCCAACAATGCATCTCTCTCTTCAGTCCCCATTTCTCCTGGGCCTCTTTCTCTTAAACCTTACTCCCTGCCTGCCTGTGGATTGCCAACACAAGCAGGGGCTGCTGGGAGGCAGACAGTTCCCCCTGCTCCCCTATACTCTCCTGAGGTACCCACTCATTGTTTATGTCCAGCAAGAGGCAGAGAAGAAGACCATCCTGAAAAAAAGCCCTCCAAGTCATCTCTGAGACAGCCCGATGGGCAGGTAGACTCATTCCGACATCTCTGGTGGGATTGTTGTCATATAAATGGTTCTTGGTTGGAAAGTATCAATAGAATTAAAAACATAACTGGGTCTGAGATACCTTTTACTCCAGAATCAGTACTTTTAAATTATTGGCCTGATTTGAATGTTAGAAGAGCCACAAGGGAACCGCTTTTATTAGCTTCGGCCCTATTAACAATCGCCAACTAAATGGAAAGATCCTGTTCCCCCTTCAATATCGAATTTGCATGAGAAGATTTGGGAGCAATTCAGCATGGGTAATAATTTCAGACAGTTTTAACACATTCAGATTTGGATCGTTGTTGATCTACTTTTGTAGCAACTTGGTTTCCAACGATACAATATTTGATGGAACAGGGGGTACTTCCTGAAAATTCTGTACACCGTGACTTTTTATATCTGTAGCTGGCTTAGATAGAACCTCTGCTGATTTTCAGATTTCATAGGAGTATAATTTTTAACACCTGAATGGGGTAAGGTCACATAATTATATTTTGATTCCCCATCCCCGAGTTTTGTTTTGTTTTATTGCAAAACTAGGAGTAAGTCCCATTGGGGGGAAGAAATACGAGCTCTAGAAGGAAGCTCCAGGTGAGTGTCCCGGCTGTGGCTGGTGGGGCGGCAGAGGGAAGGGGAAAACAGAGGGAGGCAAGCCATGTTTACTTCCTTCTGTTTAGCTATAAGGCAGGGCTGTCTCAAGTCATTTTGCTGCCCCAAGTGGGTAGTATGGGAGGACAGCCTCATGGTAACAGGTATGGTTCTCTCCACATAGGTAAAGGTTTCCCTTGCTCGAAAGCCAGTCGAGTCCGACTCTAGGGTTGCGGTGCTCATCTCCGTTTCAAAGCCGAAGAGCCAGCGCTGTCCGAAGACGTTTCCGTGGTCATGTGGCTGGCATTACTAAACATACATACATAAAATCTCTGCGACAGCCCATCCAACCCCCCACTCCCGCTGTTGAGAATCCTGATTTACCAGGAAGCCGAGTTGCGCGCAGGCAAGAGTGATGATCCCAAAGGCCAGCCCCGTGGCAAACAGCTCCTTTGCAGACCGCTGCAGAGTTCTCCCAAAAGCGGACCACTGCCGGATGAAGCGCAGCTGCTGGGATGCCTGCTCAGGACAAAGGGGACAGATGACAGCCTTGGGAAAGGTGCAGAAAAGGGATGCTAAAATACTTGAAGGGATGGGACACCTTCCCCATGAAGACAGGTTAGAGAGGTTAGGGCTCTTTAGCTGGGAGAAATTATGACTGAGAGGTGACATCAGAGTGGCTGGCAAAATTAGGCATGGGACAGAGAAGGCAGAGAAAGAAGTCCTCTTCCGCCTTTCTCACCATACGAGAACTTGTGGGCATTCAATGAAACAAGGGGGCGGGACCCGCCTTGCCCCCTTCCCTTCCCCCCCCCCCCCCCTGCTGCCTCTAAAGCGAGGCTTTTTGTGCAGGCAAAATGCCTCGCTGCTCTCTTCTCCCCCACCCCAAGCCGCAGCGGTGGCGAGGGAGTTCGCAGAGCGTTCCCTGCGCAGGCGCAGGGGGCGCTCTGTTACTTTTGGGGGGATTTAAGTATCCCCCCGATATTTTTTTCAGGTTTTAAGATTTTTGTGCACACCTGGAGACCCTACCAAGTGTGCACAAAAGTCTCCCTCCCCCCCAGGTGCCCCCGATGCGCGGATTTAGGTATCCGCACACAGGGGGCATCTTCGCTATTAGATATATAGATTAAAGAGCCGCAGGCTTAGAACAGATCGAAGGAAGCCCATCTTCACCCAGAGTAATTCACACGTGGAATTCACTGCCACAGGAAGCAGCGGCGGCTACAAGCACAGACAGTTTCGAGAGGGGATAAGCATATGGAGCAGAGGTCCCTCAGTGACTATTAGCCACAAGGTCTAGATGGAACACTCTGTCTGGGGCAGTGATGCTCTGGGTGGCAACAACTGGAGGGGTTCTGGCCCCACTGCTGGACCTCCTGATGGCCCCTGGGTTTTGGCCCCTGTGTGACACAGAGTGTTGGACTGAATGGGCCATTGGCCTGATCCAACATTGGCATCTCTTACGTTCTTATACTGAACCCAGGTTCCACCCTCTCATATAGACCCGTAAAAAGTGACTCCTCATGTGGTGAAGGAAGAGAGAGCCAGGACTCTCCTCATGCTCAATTCCAGCGGCTGTCCAATTAGTATCCGGCTCTGGGGGAAAACAGTGGCCCTGCTAATTGGCTGCCTCAAGCTTGCCCCCCCCCCGCCCATGCCCTACAGCTGTTTGATAGTTCATGGGGCAGACTGCCTTTCACTTCAGAATTCATTTCAAGGATATCTTAGTTTGGGTCTGTGTTTCTGGAGGGGCAGCAGTTTAGCTCGCCATTCCTGGAATGTGACGGCTCGGAGCTGCAAAGTTGTGATAGATCACCCTTGCCAGTGTTCCCTCTAAGCTGAGTCGGCGTGAGCGAGCTCACCGTTTCTTAGCCTCCGGCTCACACATTTTTTGTGTTCGCTCAGGAAGGACGGGCTCCGGCGCAAACTAATTGATGCAGCGGCCCAATCGCTCAGTCACAACGTTAATGCCAGCAGCTCACAAAGCAGAATTTTTGCTCAGAAGACTCCACAGCTTAGAGGGAACATTGAGTCCCTCGCCTGAAGGATTTTTCTTTATTTTATTTTTATTTATTTATTTTTTCATATTTGTATCCCGCCCTCCCCGGTGGGCTCAGGGCGGCTCACAAGGGCAAGGTAATTAGCCGTGCCATAAATAAAACATCTAAAACATAATTAAAACACCCAGCACTTAAATACAACAACGGTGCTCAGTCAATTACATGTCATAATCCGAGATGGAATCAATCAACACAGTCCCAGGTGGCACTCCCATGATATTTATACCCAATCAGATCTTCTTTATATAATCCAGGTTCTTCATCAGGGCATCCTTTAAGATACCATGACGGTGATGGTATAGTGGGGCGGCAGCTCCTACTCAAAGGCCTGGCGGAAGAGCTCCGTCTCGCAGGCCCTGCGGAACTGCATAAGGTCCCGCAGGGCCCGGATCTTCCCCGGGAGCTCGTTCCACCAGGTAGGAGCCGCCACCGAAAAAGCCCTGGTCACAGCTAATCTGAAGTCCTTGGGACCCGGGATGACCAGTAAATTTTGGGGCCCCGACTGTAGTGCTCTTGGGGGAACGTGGGGAAAGGCGGTCCCTCAGGTAGGCTGGACCCTGGCCATACAGGCTTGTGCTTGTGTCCGTCCGCACGACGTTACCTTGACGGGCAGCAGGAAGAGCAGGACGGCAGCCAAGCAGTGGAAGGCGGTGTTGAGCGAAGCCACCTGGTAGAAACTGGTGAAGCCGTGCCGGTTCTTCAGGTAGGCTGCCCACTGCCTCCCGGCCAGGGTGGCCTGGCTGACGTACACCCCCACCGTGCAGGTGGCGAGGAGGATGAGCAGCCATTGGCTGTAGCTGCTAGCCAGCCCAAAGTAAGCCCTGCCCGCCTTCTTGATGGAGAGCGACTCGGTCACCACGAAGTAGACAACCACGATCATCAGGATGACCTGGAGGCAAGAGGCAACTGGGGTGAGCCCCAAGCGAGGGCCTGGGGGCCAAGCCCTTCCTGCTCATCGCAGAATGGGGTCTTAAGCACCCGAGCGCTTTCCCTTTGGGGAGGAATGTTTGAACCGGAGTCCTTCCCTCCCTCAGCGCCTTATACGAGCGTGCGAGGGCTTGAACGTGAACGAGAAGATGCCTTGCGCTGAATCCGACCATTGGTCCGTCAGAGTCATGATCGTCTACTCAGACTGGCAGCGCCCCTCCAAGCTCTCTCAGACTGAGGTCGTTCACCGTCCTCTGAAGATGCCGGGGATGGAACTTGGGGCCGTCTGCAGGCCAGACAGACGATGGGCCCCTTTGAGCCACAGACCCTCCCCGGACCTCTGTGGCAATCTGGGACGTCCTGGAAGATGGCGTCTGACCCCACCCACCGGTCCCGGACTACAGCCAGCACGAGTCATTCTCGTTCTGTTTCTCAGCCTCATCTGCCTCTCAGGGGCCAAACTGGAGGAGATGAAGGCCACTGTTCTGAGCTCCTTGGAGGAAAGGCAGATGAAACATGGGGTCAATGAGACAACTTGAAGAAGAAGAGATTGGATTTAGAGAGCCACTTTGGTGTCGTGGTTAAGTGTGCGGACTCTAATCTGGGAGAACCGGGTTTGATTCCCCACTCCTCCACTTGCACCTGCTGATGTGACCTCGGGTCAATCACAAGCTTTGGCACAGCTGTCCTTGAAAAAGGGCAGTTTGTGTCAGAGCTCTCTCAGCCCCACCCACCTCACAGGGTGTCTGTTGTGGGGAGGGGGAGGGAGAGGAGTTTGTAAGCCGCTCTGAGACTCCAAGTGAAGGGCGGGGTATAAATCCAATCTCTTCTTCTTCTTCTTCTTCTTCTTCTTCTTCCTCTTCTTCTTCTTCTTCTTCTTCTGCTTTATACCCCGCCCTTCACTACCCGAAGGAGTCTGAGAGCGGCTTACAATCTCCTTCCCCTTCCCCTCCCCACAGCAGACACCCCGTGAGGTAGGTGGGGCTGAGAGAGCTCTTTCGAGGACTGCTCCTGAGAAAACAGCTCTGAGGGAACTTGTGACTGACCCAAGGTCATGCCAGAAGCTGCATGTAGAGGAGTGGGGAATCAAACCCGGTTCTCCCAGATTGGAGTCCGCGCTGCTAACCACTACACCAAACCAGGCTGGGATACAAGACCTCTGGGGATCTCCGTTCCTACCGGTATCTGATGCGCGTGGCTACCCTCCGAAAACACAGCCCGCGGGGTTTCCCGAACAGGCGAGACTTGCAACCTGGAGGCAACGGGGTTTGACCCAACAGCCCTCAGATCCGACAATGCACTTGTCCCTCAATTGCAAGCTCAGGGAGTTCACCGCTTCCCAGCCCCAAAGACCTGAGAGGGAAAAGAGCCTCCGGCCAGCACTGACCATCAAGAGAAGCTGCAGTGTGACTCCTCCGTTGAGTGGAAGAAACGGGATGCACCCGATGGTGACCGCTGGCAGCACCTGCCCCGCCCCAGGAAACTCCAACCTGAAGGTGACGACAGCCGAGAGGTCCAGGCCTGGGTTGTACTGGGTCAGTTCTATGAAGACTGCTCGAGTCCTGCCCAGGGTGAAAGGGAAGGGGGTCAGGAAGTGCGGAAGGAAAGAAGGAAAGAAGGAAAGACACGGTTTGGAACAACACGCAAAAGGATGGATGAGGGTCTACTAGTGACGGCCAACTGTCTGCCTGGTCCCACCATGGGGCTCGCCCTCTTCACTCGCCTCCCCTAGACAGGCACAGACACACCCACTTTACGTACATGTTACTGATCCAGTTGTTCTGCCGGAGGAAGTCCAGCCTGGTTGTGCTCTCCTCCAGAGTGGTCCCCAACTCTTGTACATACCCGCTGCCGTCGTAGAAGGACAGGTAGCCCCAAAACCAGACCCTGAAACAGAACCGGAAAGGGAAGAAGCGCCACAGGGTCAGACTATGGGTTGGTGGACCTAGAGATGTGAAGGCCCGGAAAAAAAACGCAAAAATTCATTTTTTTCCTGAAGCCTTTTTTGTTTTTCCCCGAAATATTGGAAAAATTGAAAAAAGAAAAGAAAAGAAAATGATTATGGAACATTTTATTTTAACATGATGAATAAAATATTTTAAGACAAGGTGTTCAAATATTTTCCAAATCATTTCTAATATATATATATGGTATCAGATTGATCTAATTTCTGTGCACTGAGGACAAGCAAGTCCTAGGTTACAAAGTGAACTCTCCAATGCAAGAACAAGATGCATTTCTTCCTTTAGGAGGTGCAATTGTCAGAAGAAAATAAAAAATTCAGTTTTGTTTTTGCATGTGGGTGGGTATTCTGTTTGCAATAATTGTTTGGATATACTATATTTTCAATATGCTAGTTGTGATAATTTCATGCCAAGTAAAAATGTCCATAGTCATATTTTATGTTCCTAAAATAACAGAATGACTTTCAATCTAGAAAAGACAAAAGAAATGCTAATGTAGCATTTTTTCAATTTTTCCAAAAATTTCCATTTTTTCCCAAAACCCCCCCAAAATTTCCGGAAATTTTACATCTCTAGGTGGACCCATATCCTCTGCTCCAGTTCATCAACCAAATCTGGTTGCTGCTGTCGTAGAAGGACAGGTAGCCCCAAAACCAGACCCTGAAACAGAACCGGAAAGGGGAGAAGCGCTATGGGTTGGTGGGCCCATATCCTCTGCTCCAGTTCATCAACCAAATCTGGGACGGTTTTACCTGGAGTTTTGTTCTACCTGCCTTCCCCCCCTCCGTTTAGAAATCTTTATTAACAATTCCAGAACTGGAGGAGATGCAGGCGGCGCTTTCTATTCTTTTCTGTATGTGTTTCCTCTTCCACAAGGGGCTATCCAACATTGACCCAATAGTCTGTTTCTGGTTGTGTACAGCGGGATGCTCAATCATATCCTTGTGAAGCCCTCCTAGTTCTGTGGCTTCCCGGTGCTCAGCATGTTCCTTGCTCTAACCAGGAGGGTTTGTGGGGGTTTTGTCCCAGGCACTGCCTCCCAAAACGATGCCGCCTGCCGCCTCAATGAGTCTGGAGTGCCCGAGAGAACCCCTGAGTAATCCTTGTGCCCAACTAGTCCTTATCACACCTCGTGACTGCATCAATGTGCGTGCCTTCCACCTTTGAATGCAAATATTCCAGAAAGAAGAAGACAAAGAAGGAAGAAGACGATGAAGAAGACAAGGAGGAGGAGCTTGGATTTATACCCCGCTTTTCACTCAGTCTCAGAGCGGTTTACAATCTCCTTTCCCTTCCCTCCCCACAACAGACACCCTGTGAGGTAGGTGGGGCTGAGAGAGCTCTCAAGGACTGCATGTGAGAGAACGGCTGAGAGAACTTGTGACTGACCCAAACTCACACCAGCAGCTGCATGTGGGAGCGGGGAATTAAACCCGGTTCTCCCAGATTAGAGTCCGCGCTCCTAACCACTACACCAAACTGGCTTGGAAGGGAATGCCAGCAAACGAGTCGGGGAGTACAAAGATTGACCCCAGGAACTGCATACTGCACGCCACAGTGGTCAGCAATGCTCCCTCTAAGCCGTGGAGTCTTGTGAGCAAAAATTCTACTTAGTGAGCTACTGGCATTCGAGTTGTGAGCGAGCGATTTGGCGGCTTTGTCAAGCTCTACATTCTTTTGATAAGCCCTACATTCTTTTGACTGTTAATAGTACATGTTTTGAAATTCTACAAGTATCTTTTGGCTGTTGGCAGCAATTGATATATTGTTGTATTATTGTATGTTATTGTATAACTATTATGATACTGTATGATTAGGTTGGATACCTTGTGAATATATTGTATACTTAAATACTATATCAAGTATAAAGTAATTATATTAGCATACATAACTATGTTTAAGAGTGTATTATTGGTTCGCTCTGGAGCCCTCCTTCCTGAGCTAGGACAAAAATGGGTGAGCTGGAGGCTAAAAAACTAAGCTAGCTCACATTAACTCCGCTTAGAGGGAACACTGGTGGTCCGTCCCCGAGGGAGCCAGCTGGCAATCTGGGCTGGCACGGAACGTGTTGGGAGCAACGTTCCCGACGGCAGGGTGACAGTGGCGGGTACAGTCATTCGGAGGCTTCCTTACCCGGCATGTTCAGGAGGTGAATAGACCCAGAGCTGCGTGAGGTTGTCAGGGATGCTTTCCCAGCCGACGGCGTAACTGCTGGTGTCAAAAATGTGGGCGCCGAAGATGCATTTCTCCCCAGCTGCGTCCATCGCACTCAGGATGTTGCCGACAGGACCCGGGCACTCTCCTGGGGAAAGAGTCGGCCCCGTCTTACCTGCTGGGAACACGATGTCGCTATTCCCTGCATGGCTGTTATCGCCTCTCCAAAACCTTCCCACTCTTCTGTGGCACCAAAGGAGTGGGAGCATCTGAGAAGATCTTCCCAGAACCGAGAGATGTATGAGACCCCTGCCCTGAGGGCCCACAGTCCTGTAGAAGGCAAGGACCTCCACCCATCAGCCGGGACCAAAAAGACCAGCCCCACACACAGTGGACAAAAGGTGTGAGCAGGATGATTAGCTCTAGACGACTCGAACAAGCTAGCCAAGCTATATGCGACATTGTGCCCTTCCGAGACAGGAATCCCCCCCCCCACTTATTAAACTACCGATGGTGTCCTGCAAAGCAACTTTCGGAAAAGGGTGGGCACAATGGTGGGCACAACCAGGAGATGAAAATATCCAAGCCCACTCTCTCCTACCTTCCTGCAGGCGGATTTGCCGCAGCCGTGGGGTTCCCAAGGTGGCGCTGCGGCTCCCCGAGCCGGACTGGTTGTTGTACAGGTACGGCAACAGCCCCTGTGACATCCAAACCCAGAACTCGTCAGGTCTATGTGGGTGCGGCCGGGAGAGACAAGGGGAGAGGGGAAGGAAGAGGAGGAGAAGGGTGAGTGTGCGACGCCACGGATCCTGCATCTGAAGACTCCTTGGTGTTGGGGAGCTGGGATCGCTGACTGGTTGGGACTTCCACATCCAGCGAATTGACTGGGACTAGGGAGGATTTCTGCACTCTGGGCTGCCTGCATCAAACCCGTGGTCCACAGACCCGGCTTCGGCCACTGGTCTCAACTGCTGGGGGCTGCTCCCTTCACACCCCAGACACGGGCTCCCTTCTTTCATCTGAAAACAGGGTGCTGTTCGAGATGGGCCTTCAGCCTAATTCAGCAGGGCTCTTCTGACCCTTGACTCAGACATGCCTGTGATTTGAACCTGGGGTATTCCAGCATGCCAGGCAGGGTGTTTACCACCAGCCATTGCCCTTGTTTGGGTCCAAAGGAGCCAGGTGCTGTGCGGAAATAAGAAACCCCCCTAGGCTCACAGTCAGCAATCAGGGGGAACAGTCCTCGAGATACAGGGACAGAAAACCACGCTCTAAGAGATCTAGAGAAGGTGGACTTGACCCAATTAGGCTGGGGGCAGCCACGAAGGAGCTGGAAAAGATTGTTAAATAAATAAATAAAATCTTTCAATGTATTCATCGCTCAATCCTGCAGAGCTGGCTGGCTCTGAGCGATTTACAGTTACTCCATTACACACGGGACTAACAATGATTCAAGGGGTAAGGGAGGACAACACATAATCTTTAAAACACACACGTTCGCAGCCGACGGGGAGTTTTGTTCAGCTGCAAGGTCAGACGTGTTCCAGTGGCATTTTCCCCTCGGCGTGGCTTGATGTCGTCAGCTTTCTCCGGACTGCTTCAAGTTGTAGCGCAGCACTGCCACCGCCTGGCCGGACGGCCCATTACAGGCTTCCTTAATGCCGAAGAGTTCTTTCTAGGCTTTTCGGTCTTACGCGCTGGACATTCCGTTCGCCGGCTAACACCTCCCCCACCGGGGGGGTTTAGTGTGCCCACCCTCTCTAAGGAGTGGTACCCATTTTATCTACTCGCCGAAGCTTTCGAACCGCTGGATGGACGGCGAGCTGGGGACAAGGCTGGTGGCTCACACCAGCACAGGGCTAGAACTGACAGTAGTTCTGTTCAGCTCAGATGTTTTAACCAGAGGATAAATCCCCTGTGCCACCGCTCCTCTAGAGTAGACTAGAGGTGCTGGCGATTGAACCTGGGACCTTCTGCGCATGAAGCAGAGGCTCTTCCACTGTGCCACAGCCCCTCCCCTTTACCAGAGAGATTGTGGGAAATTCCTAGAGCATCACTTAATGGAAGTCAGTTTTCCCCCCACTCCTCAATTCCTTGGGGATGAGAAATGGGGGCTGGGGGCAGGTCATTACCCAGCCAGGCAAGGTAAATAGAAGGCCTATGCAGAAACTAAGCTACAGCTTAGAGCCACAGGTTATGAGGGACGTAGCCGGGATTTTGTGGCTTGTGGGGCAATTTTTTTTTCTGGTGGGGCTGAAGTTCTCAGTGCAGAAAGAAAAGCCATTGAGCCAAACGAAAGCCATTACCGGGCTAGATCTCTGAATTGCGAGCTGTCAACCACTTGAGATGACAGTTCTCAGCTGCTGCAAGTTAATCACTTCTGCCAGCCGAAGCAACCACTCTGCTAACAAGCTGGCAGGTGGGGGTGAGGACTTCTAGAGTCAAGAAAGCTAACTCCTAGGCAGAAAAGCTTTCAAAGGAGACAGAGTTAGAAGGTAACCTAGAGGTCACCTACTCCAACTCCCTTGCTCAGTGCAGTTCAGCTCAGATGTATTAACCAGAGGATAAATCCCCTGTGCCACCGCTCCCCTTTAAGTGTCAGGATGTCTTGCTGGCGACCAAGATCAAGATCATATATGCCACAGTGTTCCCCGTTACTATGTATGGGTGTGAAAGTTGGGCAATGAAGGAAGTGGGCAGGGGTGAAAGTCGATTCACCTGAAATGTGGTGCTGGAGTGTTGCTGATACCGTGGACTACCAAAAAGACAAATTGGTGGGTTCTAGATCAAATCAAGCCTGAACTCTTCCCTGAAAGCAAAAATGACTAAACCAGGCCCGTAGCCGGGATTTTGTGGCTTGTGGGGCAATTTTTTTTTCTGGTGGGGCTGAAGTTCTCAGTGCAGAAAGAAAAGCCATTGAGCCAAACAAAAGCCATTACCGGGCTAGATCTCTGAATTGCGACGGCAGGGTGACACGCCCAGGAGGAACTCATTAGCATAATAGGCGACACCCACCAGCAGAAAA